TCATTCTAGAAATGATACAGGTGCAACAACTCATATCCATCATTTACGATGTATGGTTTTGTTTGTCTTTTTAAAAATCTGCAACACTATTATTTACAATACTGTGCCAAATCTTCAAGGTCAGTGCAAGAAGTGTAGGAGAATCAGAATTTGACAGCGTATGATAAGGCGTGTTTCCTTACCGTGGCGACATTTAAGACAATTTATGAGGGGTTCTTTAAGAGGCGGAGCGTCACAAATACAGCAAACTTCTTCCACTCCAGCAGCGACTGAGGCAAACAGAGAAAGACAGAGAGAGGCAGGGGAGGGGAGGAAGTAAATGTGAAAGAGGAAGACAGAGAGAGAGCCGTAAACTGCATTAATTTATGTATATTGATTCACATCCTTGCCACCTCATTGATTTCAGTGTCTCCTGCACCCTTTCAGATTTCACTTCATTTGACGGGCAGATATTCAGCTTGGTCCTGACAAGCATCCAACTTCCCCCTTTCACTCGATGTAAGGTGGAGTGGGGGCACCATCTCCCTTAAGAGTCATTAGTCTAATAAATTCATAAATAGACTAATAAACCAATCACAACATGCCCAGATGCATATACTCAGTATCACAACCTACAACGTGCCTGTAATATATTTTCTGCATTGTTCTATGAGTGAAAATTCTGAGATCCGGAGGAAAATAATAACATTTTTATCACAAAATTGGAAAAAATAACTCCTCATGCAGTTTAAAAGTGGAAACAACCACCTTTAGTATGAGTTCAGCCGAGCATCTATGCATTCAAAAACCACATCTTATCACCTTAAGTGCTTCCAACTGAAAGCTATTTAACTCTTGCAGATGAGGGGAGAGGGAGGGGAAAAAGAGAGTTCTTCTTACACGAGTGAATGTCCTTTCTCAGTACCCAGAACTCCGAGTTGTCCTCGAATCTCACCAGACAACATTGCTTGACTCCATCTACCTGAGAGGAAGATAGCAGGTGAGCGGGAATGATTGACAAAACTAAATGGAAGTCTTTTCAGAATCCAGGTGAACACTCTCACTGAAAAGTCCCCCTGCCACACACACATGCACACTCCCACACGCACTTACTCTTTTCACATTGCCGAGGTACAGTAGTCCATCACTCCATCGAGCCAACACATCATCTCCTTCACTTACTCCCCCCATCCTGAGGAGAGAGACAGAGCGGGTAGAGAGGGGGAGAGAGAGCAGGGCTCATGTGAAATGGAAATCCGATTTATTCGCTGAATACTTTGCTGCCATTGCTGACAGAGGGGTTTATGGCCCCGGCGTTACGCCTGGCTCTCAGACAGGCGGGCTTCGGTGCAAAGGGGTTAAAATCCCCCACCCCCTCCACTTCCTTTTAGATCAGAGCATAGCGACAGCCTGTATCCACCACAGTGAAAGATGAGAGTGAGTACACAACCAGAGAGCAAGACAAATGATTACTGCACACATGAAACACACACACAGAAAGAAAACACTGCATGATGACTGCTGCAATACAGTTTGATTGAATGAGCAAAGATCACTGTGCAGCTACTTGAAGCATCTGCCAGGCACTTTTCTGCTTCTTCTCTCCCAACATCTGAAAAACTTGAATAGATGCATGAAATGACTGTGCAGGCATTATCTCTGCTCAAGCATTTGTTCCAGTGCATGCACTCAAGACAGACGCAGGATACACAACAGTGCATGTAGCCTTTTGTGATTCAAAGGGAAATCAGGCAAATTGCACAGTGCCAGTGAAGGGTACCTGTCAAGTCGAACTCCTTTCCGTCGGGGTCACAGTGATTCCTGGGCAGGCTGGACATGAAATGCCCTCATGAGCTGTGGATCTCCTCTGCCCAATTACTGCCCGTTTGGATGCGCAGCCCTGCGTGTTTCCAAAAAGTGGAGGATGTGCATGTATGTCCCTGTCTGTGCCAAGCGCCCACGAGTGTGTGTGTCAGTCAAGCCGTCAGCCAGGAGGAGGGGGAGGAGGTGGGGTGACTGACTGTCCGTCCGTCCGTCTCTCAGCCTAGTTTGTCCGTCCTCCGCGATACCGTTTCGTCATGTTCCCGTCGCTTTAGCCCTCCTCTCCCCCTCTCCGCCTCCACCTATTGATGCTATTAAGGCGGGTTTGTCAGAGCAGCGCCGGAATCAAGCCGCCAGAGACGCCATCATCCCTGCCTCACGCTCTACACCGACTTGTTGTGACGCAGACATAAAACACCGATATAGAGTGGGAGGGAGATACTGATAGAGGGGGGGATCCAGAGGTGGAGGGGGGGTCCGCGGCGAGAGCACCTTCCCGTCTGAGAGACTGACCCTAAATCGTTGTGACAAGGTGGGATTGTGATGTCTGGCGGCAGGGGGAGGCATGGCGGTGCGCTAAAAGCCAAATGAAGCAGCGCGCGCAGCGACGGGGGCCAATTAAGTGGCCAATTAATGAGTTTAGCCGCCTCATTAATTGAGCTCAAACACGAGCATCCAGACAAGTTTAGGAGACCCGTGGAGAAAAGTTTTCAAACTGAGAGGCCCGAGCAAGAAGCGCCAAACTCTTCATCAATATTTATGTATAATACCTAGAGGAATTTAGTGTGTTTGCTGTCTTTATTATTGGGGAAATGTGACATTATACAATCTCTTCTGATGCTTATGTCTAAAATAACACGGTCGTCAATGAGCTGACTAATTTGCTTGTTATACAATTTAAATTTAAAATAGCCCTTTGCTGAAGATATAACTCCGAAGTGGACAAATACCCTATCTGCAGGAGAGATGTGTTACCCAGAGGGTCACCTCCACTCACAAGACATCCGGAATGTAATTGATGGAAAATATTGTTCAGATATGAGTATGCCCCTGAACTGATACCATCTAAAGTCATGGGTCATCATAAATCAAACATGCAAAACGTTAAATCTATAATAAATAACATAAAGCTTATTGCATAATTAAAGACAAACATGAGGCCTACACTTATTTGAGAGAGTCAAAGCCACATAATCAACAATAATTATTAATTGAGCGTAAGTCGATTATACTCACAGATAAATTGCTTTTGAACACGCTTTGTCTGCAGGCACGTGTGTCAAAGCCACGTTTTGGTTTGTTTATTTTATGTGTCTTTTCTTGTTTATGGATTCCTTACACATTACTCACACCAGTCAAGCGTGTGGTAACACCGTGCGGTTCAAAATGGCCCCTGGCAGATTAACAAGTGGTGAAGTGCCAATTTCCAAATCAATCCACCAGGTGGCGTGCAAATACCAGCACAGAAACTCTGATCAGTCTGGGGATGTTCAGGGTCAGTGGTTTGAAACTGAAGTAAAAAAGGATGACATGATGTGATACTAGTTCCCAACCTGCATCAGAGGCAGTGGTGGAATGTAACTATGTACTTGTACTCAAGTACTCACACTTAAATACAATTTCGAGGTATTTGTAGACTGCTTATAGTATTTCAATTTTTTTTTAAGAAGACGACGGACCTTTATTGACCTATTACGAGGACACTAGTTTTAAGAAGGCCCTACAGTGTTTTTACTCCACCATATTTATTTGACAATATACATTTCTAGTTACTGCAATGTAATCAGAGCCCAAAATGTGCAGGCAGTGCTTGTCTTAAAGAGTCCCAAGACAAAAACATTAGAAACCAGTTTGATGTCAAATAAAGTTGAACTGGTATGAACTGTGTTTTTTGCTGGCTTCGGTTAATGTGCTTTTTGTTTAAATAACTTACAATTGTGCTGAAAACCAATTTCCCTATGGGGACAAATAACTTATATCTATCTACCTTAAAATAATGCACATGGTCATCACCATCACATTATGCCATGGTGTAATGAAGGGGGGGGGGGCTTTTGGTTACAGACAGTCCCATTCATAATTGCCTTACAGTTGAGTAACAGCAACAACATGTCTAACTTCAGTTAGTCTATCGGCATGTCTGACCCCCACTGATAAGAGCATCAGTCAATTAATCAAAGGAGGGTTAAGCAATATACTGTGTGGATCAGTGTCCTGAGATACCATGAGACTCAGGGGCAAACACATAAACACACACATATTCAGCTGCATGTCAAGCCAAATGTGTGTTTCAGGCAAGATGAAACATTACAAACTCTTTCGATATCTGTATTGGCATCCAAGAGGGCACATTTGAATTTGTTTTTTTAACATGCGGGGAATCAGATTATGGATACATCTAAAAATAGTAGGACTAGTAAATGTAATTGAGCCAATAGGCCTAATTGTTTTCCACAGTCAAACTTTACATTAAAGTTTTAGGATGTGGTGTATATTAATATTACTGAATATTACTGTAATGTTGTATGTTGTGTAGTGGCGAGATATAGGAGTCGGAGGCGGTGCATCGAAGGTGCATTTCCCGCCTAAGGATAATATTCCCACAATGCAGCATAATGTGTACAGTATCACAATGTATTACACATTCAAAGTAAATTACTGTGGGTAATACAGCAATTTACTGCCTCCATTACAGATTTGTTTTACAGTGCATGAACCAAGGTTATTTAAATTAAGTTATAAATAGCCTCTGCAATGTTGGAATTAAGGTCAGGGTACGGTTAGATGATGCGAGGGAAGTTACAGATTTAGGAACTGTCATTGGCAACAGAAAAGCGCGTGTGTAGCCTAAACGCTACGTGCGTGCGTACGCGAGAGCCGTGTGTGCGGAAATGCTTTCGTGTCTTGCAGCAAATGTTTCTCTCCTCGATTCCTGAAGTCACATCTCCCTACAGGAGCAGTGCGTTAAAGGCGTTCAGCCGTAGGCTGCAGTATCCGCACACGGTGCACCACCCAGAGAGACAGGGCTGTTGCCAAAGCGCAACATACAGGAACTGCGACGTCAGAGAGAGAGAGAGAGAGAGAGAGAGAGAGAGAGAGAGAGAGAGAGAGAGAGAGAGAGAGAGAGAGAGAGAGAGAGAGAGAGAGAGAGAGAGAGAGAGAGAGAGAGAGAGGTGGGGAGGAGAGGTGGGGAGGAGAGGAGAGAGGGAGTTTACAGCTTGTCCGAAGTGCGCTATCAGCTGCTGAAAGCTGGACACACGAGCGGTGCGAGGACACTGATAGAGGGGAGAGATAGGGTGGGGGGACGGAGTCCCTCGTGGTTGTCGGCGGTGACAGTGGCACAGATGGGCGCGACTCTCCTCAGCTGAGCCGGACACCGACCCAGCAGCAGCGGTCACCCGATGCTGCCTGAATCCAGCTGACCACCGCCAGATAACACACATCCTACGAATGACACTTGGCTATAAGTAAGTTGAATTACAGCTTCCTTCATTTCTGTTCCTCTATTCGGTTAATTGTGCTGCGTTTGTTTAAATTCCCTTCATGTAGTGACTCATATAGGAAGCACTTATCAACATCTGTCAATCGTGTGTGTTTTAATAGGAGTGTCAGCAGGTACAAACTTTTACAGTCCTCACAGGCTTTATTTACATCACCTACTGTGACAGAAGCTATCTAATATAGGACTTAGCATAACTGTAACCAGCATCCTATGGCGGTATTATTGAGCAGAAAAGGAGCATTCTGGGCTGGGACTTAACTGTAACCTAGTTACAGCTAACAGTATGAGTGTGTGTACAACTCAGTCATATGGGTTGTTTGCTTTGGGCAGAGGGTGAATAGCAGGCATTCATAACTCTGCATGGCCGTTGGTCGGGACATAAACTGTACTGGTTATGACTTCAGTTTCTTAAGCAATATTATAATGGTACAAGAAATCTACAGCAATTATAGATCATTACGTAGGAGAACACATTCTACAGAGCTGCAGGAGTCAGAGAGAGAAGCACAATGGAAAGTTGAGAGTGCCAGCACATTTTTATATTACACTTGAGCCTTTTTTGCCCCTGTTGTTTCTTATCCAGAGCTGTGAGAGCTGCCAGGGGGTCCCGAAAGGACATTTTCTCCAGGATAGAAGCGTCAGCAGGCACTGTAGGGGATTGATTCGGTGCACTTTTAATTACAGCAGCCACCTGACAGCCATTCTGCACACTATGCTTGAGAGAAAAAACGAAATAAACTCAACGCACACATCCTTTATCTGTAAATGTATTGAATATATAGGTCTCATTTCCATAGCACATATATACTGTGTCAACCTTGCTATCTCTCTCCCTCCTACACCTCTCTTCCTGAAACAGTGTTTACTAGATGTCTATCTTCATGGCGATCCAAATACCAAAGTGAGGAAAGGGAAATGGAAGGAAGGGTTGCTATGCAAATCCTGACCTGCTGTGGGGCAGAATGAGTGTGTTAAACAAATTAACCACGCTATGGCCTCCAAGCTGCCATTAACTTACTATAGTGTGTTCTTTCCATTTAAAATGTCATGGACTTGCACTCAAAGCTGGTGGTACTCTGCCTGTCACGGCTACCAATGTTGATCTTGAGAAGTTCAGAATATTCATAGTGAGTGAGTTGCAAACAGGGCGTGGAAATAAAAGCTGCAATACATTTATCGGAATGTATTTTTGAAAAATAGACTGGAAAACCCATCTTTTCTACCTTTGTGTCAACAATTAGTAATCTTTATAGTAACACAGCAAAGTGTTTAAAAAAATACTAAAATATAATAGAAAAACAATAATATGCTATGATTGGAAAAAACAAACATCTATAGTTAATTTAAAGATAATTCAATAAAAGGCCCCGACGAAGGCTCAATTTAAAACTGAAAGTTGGAGCAGATATTATGTGGAGCATAAAACTTGTGTATTAAAGCTTCGACAGGAGCAGACCTCTGCCAGATGATCTAAATCAGAAATATATGTTGGCCAGTTAACACTTCTGTGAGGTTTACACATACTTAAAAATAAAAGGCAGCAAGTGCTTTCCTGTTCTCTATACTTATCTAGAATGATAAATGATACTTTGTACTATCATGTACACAAATTCATATTATCACTTCCAACAAACGCTCAAGATGTTAACCTGAACTGCTGCCTCAGAGAGCATGAAGTACTTCTTTCCTAATGTCCTCCCTGTCTGTGGCAGCTGGCACCATGCTCCCCCGTAACCTGCGAACAGGTGGTTATGACCTGCCGGGGGTGGAGTCAAGCGACGTGCCTCTCATTGGCTACCGACCCTTACTGTCTGACAGCGGCACCCCGAGCAACCAATCAAGGAGAGGGAGCGGCAGCGATGAGTTGGAAACTTCACAGGTGAGTGTTTTCCTTTCGCCTCAGTGAAACACATCCATCATTGTGTCACTTGAGTGTCTAACAGAAAGTGATATGAAGTTTATTTCTCACAGCTTTGCTCTGTGCTGTTTGAGAACAGACAATCTCCGGCCTTCTTTATTAGTTGTTCTTCTGTTCACACAGTAAAGTGATGTGACGGCACTGCTGGGGGATTAAGAGGACTTTGTATTTCTTATGGCTCTCCTGGTAGACACTGCTAACAGCTATTAGGACGGTTCTCTGTGAAACGGTACAAGCTGAGCTCCACAACCAGCTTCTTCTATAAACAGCAGATATGGTCCGCTGGTTTTCGGACCCTGAGGGAATGAAGTCAGTGTGATACACACAGGAAAAAGAAAAGAGATAGTGTTTGGGGAGGGGTGGTGGGGGTCTGTTTTGTTATTTTCTTTATACTGGATAAATTCCTTTAGAGCAAACATCAAGCCAAACATCTAATATTCCTTCATATCTGCAAAACTATACTCCCGACAGCTTCATTAGTGCTTTGTCATTAGTTCTCATTAGCAAATGTAGATGTTGACAAGGGTAAACATTAAACCTACTTAGCAACTCAGAAAGAAGCCAGGCTTTAGAAACATTGTCCTGTTTAAGTGTAATTTGTTTTCAAGACATATTTTCCGCACTCTTCTGAAAGTGTGTATTAACTGACTCCGGGATAACGTCTGTAAAATGGATTTAAGTTGAACTAAAAGTCAGGAAGGTAAAAGGTTAATGACAGGGGCTAATTTCCCACAATCTGTCACCTCTGTTAATGTTTAGTGACTTAAAAGTGAGGGTATCAGAAGCTCCTAGAGGGTTTAGCTTCACACATAGATTGTAGAGTTGTTTTGAAACATTAGCCCTAGAGAACTTTGTGGACTTATATTGCAAAGTTTTAATCAGGTACATTTATAGCTGAAAACAGGATGTATTCTCCCTTGCACTTAGGACCTCAACTATTATTATTATTTGTAATACATTTTCTCTGAGTCATGGTGACCTACTGACCAACTCTCTTGCCCCAACCACACCTGACCTGCATATAGCTCTTTGGTTTTACTTCACACCGGGCCTAGAGAAACATCTCACAGCTAAAAACAGAAATTACACTTACTCTCTTTCCGAATAAGCAGACGTCCTCCGTGCTTGTGTCACAAGGCGGCTGCTGGACCACGCAGTAAATAATGTATGTGGTGGCTTGGCCTGTGGATGCGGTGTACAGCTGCTCTCCCTATAAACAGTATCCAGTATCACAGGCTGTCTCCAAGGACCGGCTGTCGAGTAGAATCCGATACGGCCACTTGCTGATTCTTTAATGAGGGAAACTTGGATGTGTGAGTCAGAATGCTAGAAGTGAAAACCTTGAGTGAACAATGGAGCCTCTAGGTGAAAGAAACTAAATGTTTTCAGGTTCAAATTGATCGATTGAGATTCAAATCAAGCTTAAAACAAGTATGATAGCAGATTGATGATTTTGCTTCTCCTCTTTTTTTGTTTGGTGATGTATTTTTCCAATTCAAAACATACATATTGACAATATTTTGAATGCAGCTGCAAAAGATTGGACAGCTAGGAAAACTCAGAATTGTAACGAGATATTCAACAATTACACAGCAAGAAATTCATCAGCCAGAAGGCAGTAATAGGTTTCTGTAATGAATGTTGTCTTAATAGACCTCAATATAATGTTTTCTGTGGCCATTATGACAAATAGCTTCCAAGTTGCATGGCCAACAGCGTGTGTGTGTATAACACTCCTGATGAGCAGGTGGCACCTTGTATGGTGTATACATGCTGACATTTGTGTAAAAAAAGCTTTTAGTGGTTGCAAGAACTAGAAAAGATCTATACAAATGAAGTCTCTTTACGGTTAAGAGATGTTTTTGAGACCTTTCTTTTGAATGAGAGACGCAACGTTGATTTTGACGTGAGATGGAGTGCACTGATGATTAAGAGCCCCGTGACACTAATGTCCTTTTTTGTTAACGCCAGCCTGATACGAAAGACTGGACATGGCCGTGGTTTAGGAATAACATGTTCACTAAGGTGTTATTTTGTGATCTCCATATACTTTGCCTGGATAGGTACCGACTGTTTGCACCTATAAACACAATTTTGACTGAACAAGTTAATGCCTGTTATCTGGATATTTGAGTGAAAATGACTCACTGAAGTAGAATTTGATGAGCCAGATTAAGTCAACTATTCCCTACAAATTAACTTGCAGAACATCACAGACTGATGATATCTTACAGAGTAATCCTATCCAAGGCAGGATTTTTCCTTTAATGGGAATAGAACAGCTTTGACCTGAATGCCACCGAGTTTTACTTGAAAGAGAGTAGATAACGGGCACCGAGGGATACATAGATGAAAGCGTGAGAAGAGGAGCAGAGAGAAAGATAGGAAGGAAGGGTCGGGGTCTTGGAACACTCAAAAAACAATGGTTATCTTTAAATAAGCTTCAGAAGATGTATTTATGACCCCCTGTTCAGTGGAAGTACTTGTGTCGGGTTTTAAATAAGGACTGCTGCGGTGTGTGTATTTGTTCAAATCCAAAGCGCGGAAACCGAGCTATATGGATTTATTTAAGTTAAAGATTAGAGCTGGATGTTTGGTGAAAATGGAGAGTCTGCTTCCTGCCCACTGCTTTTCTGGTGCCGTCCAATAACTGGCGTAGTTGTTGAGGAGGAGAGGTTGACGCAGCCTCGGCTTGTGATAGAAGGAGAGGGGAAAAAAATAGCTTCACAACACGACAGCACGTCCTGCTTCCTGTGTTTGTCTCCACTTATTATGTACTTCCTGCATGCTGATGGGGGTGGGGGACTTGAAGAAAAAAAGGGGAGCTTAGGGCCTTGAGACAAGGTCCTATCTTTGAAAAGAACATAAACAAAGTCTCACATATAGCAATAACAATGGTACATGTGGGAAGAATCAATATTGGTTTTGATAATACTTAAAAACAACTAAATAACAGCTGCAGGGTTATTTTGTACGCACCACAACCCATCATGCCACCCACCACTGTGGCCTATAATCATGCTGCTTATCTAGCAGCCTACGAGGCAGCTGAACTCCAAATTACATACATCTATACCGCTTTGAAAAGTTCCTCCACAGAAAGGCTGGTTCCTCTGACCCAAGTATCTCATCACTTCTTTCTGGAATAAGGAAACAGAGCAAAGGTTGAGTTCTCTTTGTGTTTGTGATGTAAAGGCCCACAGGATCAGTGGAAGCTTTAAATCATTTTCACACTTTTTTAAGCCGTAAGACAATACATTGGGGGGAAACTTTTTACCATTTTACATATATAATCTATATTTTAAGCCTCTTTGCAAGTCCTTTTTAGCTTAGCAAGACTCTTTAACCCTTTCATGCACAAGCTATGCAAACCCCTTCTAAGGGACAACATGGGTAAAAAATGACCCGTATTGACCTACAACGTTATTTCATGCATGGCTGAGCTTTCTTAGCTATACTTTTGGAAATCCATTTATTTAATCATTTCATATTCCAAGTATTCATTAAATATCTTGTTTTTGATCACCACACATCATTATTTTCTATCAACCTTTCAAAATGTAGGAACTAAAATAGTTGTTGTATTAATACATCAGGTTTGCACACATGGGTAAAAAATGACCCATGTGTGAAAGTGTGATAACAATGATTTAAAAAAACATACTATAATAATAATTGTATTAAAAATAATTATTTTATCAGTGATTTGGACCAAACAATATGTGGCTGGGTGGTGTGTGTGTTTGGTCTTTTTAGCCCACATCTTTCCATTGCCCCTGTAATGTGCTTTTGGAGGTGGGGCGTGCCATCCATGCGTCTCTTTATTCACTATATAGACACAAGTATTGGGCCATCAACACATTACACTTACAGGAGCTTTTATGACATCCCATTCCAAATTCTTAGGCATTAATATGAAGTTGGTCCCCCCTTTGCAGCTATAACAGCTTGCACTCTTCTGGGAAGGCTTTCTACAAGATTTTGGAGTCTGTCTGTGGGAACTTTTGCCCATTCATCCAGAAGAGCATTTGTGAGGTCAGACACTGATGTTGGACGAGAGGGCCTGGCTCTCTATTCTAGTTCATCCCAACGCACAGTTTTGGTGCTGATATTAATGCCCGAGCTGGAACTCTGCAGTGATTGAGTCAGCAGAGCTTTGGCCACTTTTACGCACTATGCTCCTCAGCATTGTTCTGGGGAAGAGTCCCCACAATGGTCAGGTTCTTCTCAAGGAGCTTCTCAGCCAGAGGGATACTGGTGAAGAAGTTGTCCATTGTAATGTTGCGATATATAATAATATCTTACACTAGCAGCATTTGGCCAGTTCCTTCTGTGTAATTTGACATAGATATGAAGTCTCTTCCTCACTAGTAATGGATGACAAGGTCAGGTAATGTTAAAATATGATGGACTGTTGTCTTTCACAAGTTATCAGATATCTTCTTAAGTAGAAGAAGTGCAAAAGCAGCCTGTTGAGTTGTGACAAGTTTGGCATGTGAAAAGTTGTCCACGGTAAACATGTTCCTAACTGCAATCATTTACAAATAAAAGCTTTCTATCAAATTCCTTAGTGAATACATGCTTGGTCCAAATCACTGTCAAATAATTATATATAACTAAATACTTATTATAGTATGTCTTTTTTTATCACACTTTTTGACCCATGTATGTAAACCTGATAACCTTTTAGTTCATAAATTAAGAAAGGGAGAATGAAAATAATGATGTGCGGTGATCAAAAACAAGACATTTAATGAATACTTGGAATATTAAATGATTAAATCAATTCATTTCCAAAGATATAGCTAAGAAACACTCACCAGTGCATGAAATAACATTGTAGGTTAATACGGGTCATTTTCGACCCATGTTGTCCCTAAGAAGGGTAGTGATACAAAAATGATTTTTATTCAAAAAGTAAGAAAGGAAAAATGAAAGTAAGAATGTGTGATGATCAAAAACAAGTTCATTGAGGAATACCTGGAATTCTGAATTATTAAAGTAATTTGTTGCAAAGATATTTACAATTAAAACTCACTTGGGTCACTTTTGACCCATGTTGTGTATCAAAGGGTCTCTTGTCTGAGATTTTAATTCAAGGAAATAGCGTTCTTATTTGTCTTGTGTCTGCACATCCATATTTTATGTTTCATGGCTAAGTACATTTGAAATTGTTAGTGTGCATTGTATCAAAGAGTTTCTATAAGTTCTTAAAATAAATAAAGCTCTTACATGTGTTGAGTAGAGAGTTTAATAACTGGAGATGGTGATGTCAGACTTTGCAAAGGTTTTAAGTCAGAGTAAATACAATTCACTTTGTGTGTGGTCTAGCTTTTTAGGATGACTAATGCAGGGTAGCAGACTTTTGGCGCCACTTACTACCTGTGGAGTAGTTTGAAAAATACGATATTTTGTGGGTTTTTTATTTAATTATTTTTCACACATATTTTGTGCATATTTAAACACTTCTCACAAGCACTTTAGGCCGAGACTAAACTAAGCACACATCCATCTGGAGGATTGCAGTTCTATTGTACGTAAGGCTGTACTAATTAATATTTTTTATAAACATTGGCTAAAGGAGAAAAGTAATGAAAGTGTTGCACATAGTGACAAGGTTTTAGAGAATTATCACCAGACTCTGCAGCTCCATTGAGCATTTTGGCGCTTTAAGCACATGTTTTTGGTTTTAGAAACGTTTCTGTTGTTAGACGTCTCACAGTTCAATACAACCTAATTTTCAGTTGAAACACAGACAGAGCTGTGAAAGTCTCCACCTAGTTAACATCGCTCTGCAATGTCATTAGCCCCTTAAATAAACACAGCTTGCTTTCTGGTTCAGTGGCCATCTGAACATTTATTACCTTTTAAAGGCTACAAGCCTCTTACTGCTCAAAAGCAGGCCAGGCTTTAGATTAAAGTATGAAGCCTTCTCAGTTCATTGTTGTTTTGCTTTGTGTTGTATTGAACAGGATACTCAGTCAAACTGGTTTATCTGTATGGGAAGGTCATATAGAAAGACAAAGAGAGCAGGAGAGAGACTCAAAGAGAGGGGGTATTGTTCTGGAAATAGCTTCAGGGCTTCTGCGTATGACGTATGTGTCTATTTGATGAGGGTCTGCATTTGTGTGAGCAATTTGTCTGTCAATTGGTGTAAAAAGAAACAAAAAATGTGTGTTGTGCTATCAACACCAACATATCCCTATCTGTGTTTGTAGTGTGTGTGTCTGTGTGTGTGTGTTTAATGGGTGTGCCTAGGTGATGCAGGCTAGCGGGGGCAGGACTTAGCTCCTGCTTCAGGTGTGTCTTTGTGATATAGAACCACAAGGCATTGAGAGGCAAACAGTAAAGACATAAACACACAGATCTAGGTCGACTGACAGGTAAAAAAAACGGCGGTCGAATTCAGAAAGAGAGAGAGAAGGAAGTGGGAGCAACAGATGAGAGAAAATGGAGAGAATGAAAAATCGATTCATACCTTCCTCCTGAAGATTTCCAGGAAGATTAGGGATTGCTACCTGTCTGGACTTGCAGAGGGAAAGGTAACTTGTGTGTCCAATTCTTTTTTCAGTCTTTCTGAGCTTGAGGTGATTTCATTGGAAAGATAGAATTGCATGCAGATTTGTGTAGAAGCAAGCAGCGATAGCAGGTAGAAAAACAGGTTTGATACACGGATTAATGAGTGCAGTAGGATCCTTTCTGAATTAAAGGAGCGCCTGCTTGGAATTTTGACCTTCGACCATGTCAAGCCAAGGCAATTTGAGATAGGCTAATAGGGGTGAACAAACGCTTATTACAGCTAATTCGACTTAACATAAAAGATGGTCCTCCTGCTTACTGCATGAATATGTTTCTTGGCTCATTCTGTGACGGACTTTGCATGAAAGAAAGCGTACATGTCCGCCTTGGTTACATAGATGAAAATCAAACTGGTCAGGTCATGACTTTTCCTCTTTATGAGCGGAATACTTATCAGTCAGAAGGTTTTATAACATGTTGTGCTTTGGGTGTAGTTTCCAAGGTGTTGCTCATGTGTTTTTGTAGATCAAAACTGTTGACTAATGACGACGTACGAACAGCTGGAAAATGTTGCCAGACAACCAGTATGACTTCACTGTGTCTTGCTCATGCATTTTCTATGATGGAAAAAGTCACCGATGCGAACGCGTCACTGCCAGACGATGTGTAAAGTGATAGTGATCGATGGATTTCTAAAATGCATCGGTCAATTTGATGTAAACAAAAGGCTCAGCCACACCCACCTCCGACAACAACAACAACACAAGACCCTTATTCTGAAATGTGTTGACAGTTCTCTTAGCATAAGAACTAACACAGACAACAACTACATCTAAATAACTTGGAATATATGAACGAGTAAAACATGCCTGTATCATCTGAGAAACACAAAAGCTGATTTCTGGAACTCCGAAACACTAGAGGGAAAATGTGTCTGGTAGAAATGCTTATAATTCATGCACACTCAAAACATTACACACTGTTTTTCTAAGAAGTCGCAGGCAAAAAAGGTGAAGGAACCTTTGGTTATCCAAACAAAATGTTGTGTTGTAATAGCCAGTCATGTGCTTTGTTTAATGTATTAAGTAAAAGATAAACAACATAAGGAACATCTGTAATAAGTACCATATTTGTCTCTGGAATGTAGAGAAGAGGTATAAAGTTGTATATGAATACTCTGTAAAAATACTGTAAACTGTACTTAACTATACAGACCTCAACTAAATATATTCACTATCACTGGGTTTTAAAGATATATTCACCATATTTCACTAATAAATGTCAGCAAAAGCAGGTTTGTTTGTCTCTGGCTTTGTCTCTTTGGCTGTTTTGGCATTATTGAAATGTCTCTGCAGTGCTACTGTATTTCTCACACTTCTTCTTATTATTAAAGTGCTAGGAGTCATCGGCCACCTGCGACATGACTTAGACTGCATCTACACAGAGACGAAAACTAACCGAATTCGATATCAAAAAAGTCTTCCGTCCACACGGTATCGGCTCAAGAAACGTGTCCGTCCGTCCACACTAGACCGCTCGACCTGCTGGAGACACTGTAGTACATATGCCGGGCCTGTAAGTGGTGCCACAAAACACACCAAAAGAAGACCCCCTGAGCATGGTTGCCATGGTTGCCTGGTTGCCCTTCTGTTTATTCTCTGCGGTGAATTTAGCAACATGTAGTTCATGTAGTTCTCCATGTCCACTTGTTGCTGATGGTTGTGGTAGAGGAGCTGTAGATTTTGCACTAACATCTGTAGCATGGTCAGTAGCTACTGACCATGCTACAGCAGTGAGCAGCAGAGGTGGGGCTATGGCTTCATCGTTATCAGGAAATGATCGTATAGGACGCACACACGGAGCCGTTAGGCCCCGCAGAGCGTTTCGTCCGCAGATCTACCCACTTTGGGACCCGTTACCGTTTGAGGGCTCCATTTCCACAGTTCCGTTAGAGAACTGTAGCCGATACAACCCGTTTCGTGTCCGTGTGGACGGGGCCTTAGGCCTCAGGATCCAATAACTGCACGTGTCACTGTCAACATAGTTGTTAAGACTGGGCACTAATACTGCCAAGACAAATTCTTAATAATTGTACCTGACCACAGGCCTTTGAAGTGTTTTTTTAGGCTGCACAAAGGGTTCATATTAAGCTTCACTGAATCATGTATGAGTGATTGTTATTAATTAGCATCCATTTTACTTATAATTGCGTAATCTGGGGAATTTTCTGGTCTCTGTGGGATTGATACCTGATGGCTATCACCAACAAGGCAAACTAAATTGGAAGATAATCTAGATATATTTTTTTATTGAATTCATAATGTAAACTCTGATTAACCAGCCTAATGTTAGTTTATTTATTTAACCAAGGTTCAATATAATGTTCAATATAATATCTGAAATTATGTGAAAGTTGTTGTGGCTTATAAATGCTTTACATGTGTGGGATTTGTTAGACTTTATAATTAAAATCTGAATCTTTGCATATTGTGCATACAGAGCCAATACTGTCCTGTAACACAATATGTGTTCTCTTTTGCGCACAAAATGTAAACAGAAAGTCATATTTGGGGACTGTGGAATCTTAGCATTATTCAGCTTCTTCAAAATTAACATAAGTGATGCACATGTGTCCACCTGCTAAATTATTTTCTTCAAAACTTTTCAACATTTCTTGTGATATACTAACATACATTTGTAGTTTCTGCATCATCGTACCATTTAAATCATAAATTATGCAGTATATGGGTCAGAATTAAGTAAGTGAGTAAGCCAACCAACCACAGCCTCAGGCTATACACTTAATGATTATATGATGTGTTGCTTTACTGCTGATTTGCTTGTTTGGAACCAAACCTTTTCCTCATATGACAAATAAGTTAAGCTTGTGTTTTGTTTGGTTTTCTAGGCAGATCCCTCACCAATGAAGACCACCTGGTACTGTCCTCTGGATCTGGTAAGGCCAGTATGTGTTGTGCATGTAACATGTCCAACATAAGGTGCCTGTGAGCCAGTACAAGTATAAATAGGGTAACTGTGTCAGGGACTTTCCTCCAGGCTAAAACAGGATCATTAGAGCTCCATGTAGCGTGTTAGAAATTAGTTCAAAGCAGCTTGATTTTATGCTCTTTTTTCTACATGGATATTGTGTGTCTCATGTAGAACGGATTATACTTGTCAAGGTGTACATCTGTTTAGTTCAGTAAAATGACATGATTACATTTAGTATGTGGAATCAGTACCAGGAGTAAGAAACCATCTAGATGTTGACCCACACAATGCAATTCCTCACAATTCCAGTATCCTTATCAGAATCCACTGTGTTAATTGATACACTCTTTGCCACACAACAACAACACTGCTTTAATCTGGTTTCACTGCTCTACAGTCCACTGTGGTTGAGGAAGAGGAAGATGGAGTGATATACACAGTGGTGGTGAAACAGCAGCATGGCACCCCCAACAGTGTGATGGTGAGTCACGTGTAACTGAATTGAGCCAAGGGGTTAAATAAGTATCTTATTTGTTGTAACACTTAACTTACTTTATTATTTCTCCTCCTCCAGTCAGCGGTGTCTCGCTCCCAGTGTGTGAAAGCAGGGACAGAAGAGAAGCTGGTGCTCCACCTCCTTCACTCCTTTGCTATGGGAGACTCCTCCTTCATCACAATCTTCCTCTCCACTTATCGATCCTTTTCCTGCACAGGCAGAGTGCTGGACATCCTCACTGACAGGTAGGGGACACAAATGTAATCTCAACGGCATGTTGTTTTGCTCTGGTAAAATAATATAGGTTTCTGGTAGAGTTTTTAAAATGACAGGGAAAAATAACTTTCCGGATTGCGCGTCAGCGATCACTCGGTTCTACGCATGCGCAATGGCCAATCTGAATTGTACGTTACGTTGTTAGCCAGCAGTTTAACACCATGGCCCTTTCTCATTTCTCTAACTCCCCTCCTCAACTCTTATCCTCGATACTTAGTCCCGCCCACAGGAGATGCGAGCCGAGGAGCCGAGGAGGGGAACCGAGGAGAGAGGAGGGGAAGCAGCAGGCGGTTAGAGAGATGAGAACTCCTCTCCTCTGAGCGGTCATTTTAAAGAGACGTCCATTAATGATGATAGGAGGCACAGCAGCCCTCTGTCGATGGACAGATGTGTTCATGACGACTTATATTTACTTTTAATTCATTCACAGTGTGGTATAATGAGACAATAACAGATGCGGACAAACACACACACCCCCACTCTCCCCTCTCTGGTCGCTACAATGAGGAATATAAATTACGGGCCAAAAGTTTTATTTACAAGTATTAAAAGTAAGCAGAGGACACCAAACCAACTGAGACCTGTCTGTCCGCTGCATCTACGCACACACTGTACCACACACACCTACACCACACACACGCACATACAGTTCCTAACACAGGCTACAGCCGTTGTGTATTTTATTATGTGAAGCACTAAATGGTTTTAGAAAACCAGTTATACTGTTATACTGAGTGATATATATTATACACACTGCTCTGCTTTCTGCACGGACCTCACAGCTGTTCTCTCTGTAAACATCGCGTCGGATGTAGGATGTATTAGAACGAAATCTAAAATGAAAATTATAAATAAGCAATCTGTATGTAAAAAAACCACCTGTATGTAAATTGTAAATAAGCCTTATATGTCTTATATGACATGATGAATTGGAAATGGGGGACCCTGATGTAAACAAGACGAAAGTCTTTCTCTGGTCTGCATCCCCTTAACAATTGTATGTTTTGAGCTGTACTGTACTGTACCCAATATACAAGCTGTTAATAAACTTTGCAATCAATCAATCAATCAGTCGCGATGAAAGCAGTTAATAAAATAATATCCAGGGGATGCATGCAGAGATGTCATTGGCTGAGATAAGTCCGGCCGTGCGTCACGACTCTTTGAAACATCTCTGTTGCCGGAAATGCATCCACGAAGGAGCCGTGGAGGACCGTGGAGGACCCATCAGTGTATCCTCGGTTAGAGCTCCTCCAGAGAGCCTCCTCGACGCTCGATCCTCGGTCCTCGAAGTGCATTTAGAGAAATTAGATGTCCTTCAACATGGCGCGCTGAAATTCATTTCCGGGTCACTACCGGAGGACCGAGGAGTCGAGGAGGGGGATTTGATGAAATGAGAAAGGGCCCATGTGTCTTTGTATTGACGAATTCATTGTATTATTATGGTTATAACGGTCTTAAAGGGAAATGTCCTCAACCAACCTCTCGTCAAACCAGCTAAAATGTTGTTGACATTGTCTTCTTTTTATGGGAAAACCAGAGGTGCATAGCAGGTTAGAGGCTACAAGTCACACGCCACCAACCTGACAGTAGTGTTGAACGAAACCGAGCACGCACAGTCGGCACGATCGATAAGCGCACGCACGGTAGTCGATTTTGGGTTCAATCCTTTTTTTTGTTTACTTTTCTCTTGCTAAACTGGGAACATTACAAAATGACAGTCTTCAGCCATGCTAGCAACTCTGATTTGAGACAGTGTTAACATGCTAACAAAGGGTAATGGAAATTCGCTATGACAATGCTAACAATGTTATCAGGTATAATGTTTTAATATACCATCTTAGCTAGGTGTAATGTAGCTTTAGCACCAAACATGTCTTAAATATTTGTTGCATATTCACAAGACTAGTCGATATCCATGCTAGCTGCTCTGTGAGGCTCTGTGATTAAAGCTACCATGCTAACATGCTCGCTGTGACAATGCAAACAAAGTGTTAACATGTTCGAATGCTAAGATTAGCTAATGACCATTAATGAAAATGCTTTCTCAGTGTAAATGGCAACTTTTTTGTGGCGCGAGAAGATACATCAGTCCGATATATATTCTGGAAACCATGCACATCTGCACAATATATTGTTTCAATCGATGTTGTAGAAGTTGAGATACACCAAGTAGTTTTAAAGATATTTCAATTGTGTTGGTGTATTGATTGAGTGGTCGACCAACCAACAGACATTGCCGTCTTTGTAGTCACACTGCTTAATAGCACAGATAAATGGTTACATTAGAGTCTGCCAACTGGGTGATCAATCCACTGTAACCTACATCTAATTTCCAATTTGCACAAAAATAAACAGATGTTAGTTTAGCTTTGCTATTTGTCAAGCTCTTATATAAACAGCAGTAGCTAGATTAATTGTTTAATTTAATTTAGAGACACTTCCACAGTTGAGGAAGCACCATGTGCCAGTTAAAAAAACTGCAAGATAATTCAGCAAAACCCTAGTGAAGGCTTGTTCTGTTATAAAGTCTGTTATTAAATAATGGAGACGTTTGCATGAAACAGCTGTTTGGAAAGTTTTTCTGAAGACGCAACACACAGGAGAGATTTGACTCCTGGCAGAGTGTTACCTGATCATGATAATGCCTTGGAGAAAAAGCAACTTGAGAAAAACAAGCCATAAATAAATGTATCACAAAGCATTATTTATGACATAGCAGATGCGCACATTTGAAGTTGATTAATTGTTATGTTTCCTCATGTTCTCTTTCTGCTTCACTAACAGATTGGAGAACCCACCTGGGGAAACTGAGAGGAGTCACATAAGACAATCCTTCAACAGGTGAGTTTATGAAGGCTACTCAAAATATTTTAGCAACGTTTACTGTGATATGCTGTATGTTGACGCCCCTTTGTAGCGTCACGCAGCTTTCCCCTGCTACTGCTCGAGAGAGATTTCTCAGCTAAACCCTGCAGTGATTAAATGCCATGTTATGCTCCGAACCACTTCAAGCTTTATTTCTGAAACAGTATGGAGCTCAAACCTTTCTCTCTTGCAGGGTTTAGCACAAGGACATTACGTTACACATATTCTCTCCAGTAGCCTACAGCGTTAGCTCTGAATGTTAGCATGCTTGCTAATGTAAACACACTCACACATTACTCCACACGTCGCGCATTGTTTCTGATACTGCACATAGCTCGACATGTTCTTTTAGTGTTTACCGCTAGAACAGGGGGGGTGGGAAGCTGTGGCTCAGTGGATAGTGTGCTGCACTTCGAATCAGGGGGTAGCAAGTTCGAGTCCCACTGCAGTCAGTATGTCGTTGTGTCCATGGACAAGACACTTCACTCAAATTGCTCCTGTGGGGATTGCCCACAGTACTGAATGTATGTAAGTCGCTTTGGATAAAAGTGTCTAACAAATGACATGTAATGTAACAGTGCTTATTATTTTAGACTATTACTGGTCAAACATCACCTTCACTTTGGACTATGTGACTGTTGCCAGCATCCATAGTATATAAAGAACAGTGATCTACTTATTTATGAACGACTAAAAGGCCCTAGGCCTACTACAGCCGTATCCTATTGATTGATTGATTATATGTATTATATATATAACAACTTTACTCTAAGCCTCCTGCAGACTGCTGAATACACAGACACACAGCTGCGACTGTATACGGAGACAATAGGTTGGGACGTGTCACGCGTGCCGGAGAATATAGGTTGGGACGTGTCACGTGTGCCGGAGACGATAGGTTGGGGCGTGTCACGTCGGCCGGATGTCGCCAATGATGTTATAGGAGTGAAAATTCTGGATCTGCTTGTTAGCACCCCCCTTTCTTTTATTTTTTTTAGATATGGGTACGGAGGAAAAGAGAGAGGGTTTTGTTTTCGGACACTTTGTGAGTTCCCTGACACATATAAATAAAAGACATCAAAAAGTGCATTTTGCATAATAGGTCCCCTTTAAATATAAGTGTGGAGCTACCGATGCCAAAAATACATCTTCTAAAAACTAAAGCTATGATGAAAGTAGTTACTCCTTATTGTTTCATTATATTTTTGAATTACCCATTTAAATAAAACAAGTGAACATCAGCAGAAGACACGCAATGCAAACTCTCTACCAGCTCTTTACTCTGAGTTTTAACATAGACTGTAAGAACCAACACAATCTTTATCTTACAACATATCCACTAAATTATAAACTTATCTCTAAGCTGCTTTTCTACTTTAAACCCCTTGAGAATGTGATTTATTGGCAACCTCAATATCAATTCCAATCTGCAACAGCTTGTTTTTCTGCTTCTGGCAATCAGAATTTAAAACAGGAACAGATTATTTTTCTTCAAAGGAAACTCTCGGATTGATTTTAAAATGTTTATTTCCTTTGCTGATGATCTGATTTATCGGCGCAGTGTTATAAGGAACCTTTTTGTTTTCAGAACTCTGAACTGTCTGCAGGTCAAGGCTTAAAAACAAAAGACGATCATGTTTCTGATGTTGACGTATACATTTTAGCATTGCATTCCCTAAATCCCTCAAAATAATTTCTTCATTCCTCCAGAGCGGTGTGTACGGTGTTCAGCACGTGGCTCTCTGAGTATCCTGAAGACTTTAAGAGTTTGGGGGAGCCGTCTCGCCTGCTGCGCCTCGCTCCCCTTTTCCCCCAGGACTCCTCGTCTGCAGCCGACCTCCGTGCTCGCCTCCTCAGGATCGCGGAGGAGCTCAGCGAGAAAGCCCTGCTCCCTGACTCCCATAGAGGTCCGTAAATAAACACCAGTTAAAACTAGAGGAGGTTTTCATGTAGAAATATGCTTGTCTGCTCAGCGTAAATCCCAGGCTGCAAAAGACAACAAATTACAACATGGGCTGGTTGTGGCTTTCTTTCTTAAAGAAAAGAGACAAAATTGCTTAACAAAATCCAACATTTTGCTTAAGTTTTCTGGACACTAATCTGCTTTGAAAGCCAAAGGTGGCCATGCTTGCAATAATTGCTGTATTTTTTGTTTATTGCTAATTAGAAATTGTAAGCCTGCTAACATAGCTAAATGCCGAACATCGTTAGCATTATACATGCTAAACATCATGTTAGCATTATTATTTTGTTCAAAGCACTACTCAGTCTTAGTACAGGTTCAAATACACTAACTCTTAATCTTGTTTTCTCATCCTGCAATCTCGAGGTCATGAGTGAATAAGCTCATTATCTCTCAATAACAAACACATTTTCTCATTTAAATTTCATATTTATCCTCAGGTGTTCCTGAGATAACTAAGCTTCAGTAAAAAGTCACCATTAGCCACACTGGACACAGTGACGGATGAGAGCAACAGAAACTCTTAGAGAATCTGTTTCTTGCTGCTAATATTTGATGTATGCACCATGACATCAAGTCAAATTCCTAGTATGTACGAACCTACCTGGCAATAAACCTTTTTCTGATTCTGATTTCTGATAAAGGAAAATACAGACACCTGGGGCCCACAAACAGGTTTTTGTTATGCTCTGAATCAACTCCATTTTATTGAACAGCTTCACTCTTTGCAGATCAGAGCGGTTTCACCAGCCCTCTTCCTGACACCTCCAAGTTTGAACCCACATGCATCCTTGGATTTCCTGCAGCGCTGATCGCTGAGCAGCTCACCAAAATAGAGACTGTGAGTCCTCTTATAACTTTCTGATGGATCAAAATATTGACCAATGATATCAAAAAAATGATGTTATTGACTTATATTTTATATGGGAATTATCTAGTACATTTAGCTGATCCCTATATTGCTCGCTGGGTTCGCTTACATATTCATTTACATAAGGATCTCACCAACATGATGCCCAAATATACTTCAGGGTTTTCATCCTCATTATAAGACTTGGGTACATTTTCTCTTTTCTCATGTGCTTGATATATAATTTGAATGAATATGTGTAGTTTCGTACAGTCCGATTTCTTCCTTCATAACTTGCTCTTTTGCTACATCCTGGTTGGTGTTATGATGAACTTTGATCATCTGATATGGATACATTTAAATTGTTCCTCCTGTATTTCCTCTCCATCTGTTGTCAATGATTTGCCGATCGTGCTTTTAACACCAGCAACTGCAGTTGTTTAGAAAACACAGAATTAAAGTACAGGAACATGAGCCGCCTTGGCTGCAAACACAAACAAGAAATCGTGCCACCCACATAAACCCAAACTCTGTCAGCAGGAAATCTAAGCAGAAAGACCTCATAGTATGGGTCACATGGATTGATGTGATTTTTGGTAAACAGGCTGGTATTTATTGATCTAGGCTGTCTCTTATCAGGAGCTGTTTGTCCGTCTTGTCCCGTACCACTGCCTCGGCTCACTGTGGTCTCAGAGGGACAAGAAGGGCAGGGAAGGCGTTTGTTGGTCTGTCCGGGCCACCATACGACAGTTCAACAAGCTGGCCAATGCGGTTTTAGCATCCTGCCTTTGGCCCACAAATCTGCGCAGCCAACAGAGAGCCCGGCTGCTGGAGAAATGGATCAGCGTGGCAGAGGTCAGTGTGAACAAAAGGGAAGGTCACAGCTTAGAAAATGCAGGATTTTATGCCATTTCTACAGGCTAGAATTAAAAAAAGAAATGTTGCTGGTCTTTAAATGAAATTGTTAGCAGTATGTCAGTCGGGGTTGCAAGTCTTTCAAAATCTTCAACTGTGCATTTTTACTTCACTAAACCCCCTTTAATCCCCTGAACATAATCCTGTTTTCAGCTCCCTGACTATGCACACACTGTTACAAGTTCACAGTCAGCTTGGTTTCTTCTCTGACTGTATTTTCACTTTAATATCTGCGAGCAAAACACATTATTAAAAACACATGTATGGTCGTCTTCTGGACAGAGCGCCAGCAAATAACAAACTATTTGACCGCAGCTTGTGGTACTTCTTTGCTGAGGACAACAAGAAAGATTGTAAAAAATCAGCAACTTTGTTAGACTAGAAGTAGACTTGAAGTTTCTAGTACACCTTGGAAATCAGGAAATAAACCAGGAAATAAAATAGGAAAATATTCTCAGCATGACCAGTTGTTAGTTCATACAAGAACAAGAGTCCAAACAATGTGATGTATGACCTTTAAGCAAAAAGTAAAGCTTTAAAATCTGCTTACAAATTGCAGTATAGTAGAAGAGTAATGTGGATTAGCTGGGTTCTGTCACAGCTTTGTGGATATTGTGCACAACAATCAGTTTATTTAAAAATATTAAAGAGATGTATTCCTCTCCACGCATTTTTGCCTGTGAATAAAAAACTGCTTCTCTTCAGTATTCCTGTAGGAAACTGCATTTGTCATCACATACACACACTCACTCCAACATCCTCTTTGGCAAAGCGAGGTATCACTGGTTTGCTGCCAAAGTGCCGTCCTAAGCACACCGCAGGGTTCTTATGGGACAAACCTCTTTAGCACTATGCATTATTCAGCTCCTCAGGCTGACACAGTAACTCAATACCAGCCAGACCCACACCACAGGTGTTCTCAGTTACAGTGAGTGTGTGTAAGTGTGGGCATGCAAATGAGTGCGTTAATCTGTGTGTGCTTTCAACAGGAGTGCCGAGCCAGGAAGAACTTCTCCTCGCTGTATGCCATCGTGTCCGCCCTGCAGAGTAATCCCATCCACCGGCTGAGGAAGACGTGGCAGGAAACTGACAGGTGTGCAGCTGAACAACACAAAGTTGTGTTGTTACAGGACATTACTGATTTAATGATCAATTTTTTAAATGGATCATTAGATACAGAAACAAAAATCTATAGATCACATGTTCAGGTGCACACACTTATTTGCAACATGTTCTCAATACATTAGAAGACAAAGACAGCATGAGACATCAAGATAAAAACTAAACAAAATATACATATTATATAGTGTTATTTTTTTAACTTAATATAGTGTAGAGCAGGGGTGCCCAACCTTTTTTGAACCGAGAGCTACTTTTAAAGTTGCCAGTCTGCCGAGATCTACCAGTCCAAATAGAGAGGCGTAGCCATTACTGACAGCCTACTACCAGGTAAATACACACTTCTACTTGTATAAAACTGACCTTTGTACGATTAATACTTCATAAAATACTGCAGATCCTTTATCTTACCTCTTTCTAATCTACACACATACAAGTATTTAACTGAAGTTACACAACAGTGTTGTTGATACAGAGTTGGAGTTTATTCACACGTCACATACTACAGTGGGTAATGTTTTCAAGAAACATTGAACAGTGCTGCCACATATGACACAGGGAAAAAAGAAAAGACTCTGAACCCTTTCTTTGCCATTATATAAAAATAGTGTTGCTACAAAAGTATACATTCGGCTTACTAATAAGACAACTCAGATCTGAAGCTACACCGGAATCTGCTGCCAAAGTGCAATAAATAAGACAAAATTAATAGAATCAAACAATTTTTTTTGTTGCATTTTAGTAGAGTATAAAAATAAATGCCTTTAAAATAGGATGCAAGCAACACTAGTTTCTTAACCTGAATTGATAATAGACTATAATCAATTTAAGTTTGCATTCTTATACCATTTTGTACAATAATTATAATGAATACGTTCAAACAAACTCAAACTTACAGCTGATTAATAACGGTATCTAACTTGAGTTTTTATCAAAAACCTGTTGAAATGCTACTGTTATTTTTACTGTCCCCAAAAAGCTCATCGGCAGCCTCCATGAATGCTTCTTTCACAACTTCGCCGTCTTTGAAAGACTTCATGTGTTTCGCAAGAACGTGACTGACCCGATAAGATGCTCTGGTAGCAGCCTTGCTCTTGTTGTTGGGCCTGGTGGAAATGGACTGCTGTGCATTTAGCTGTCCTTTCAGGCCCCTCCCCTTTTGGAGCGTAGGGCAGAATTAGGAGGGAATTCCGTCTCCTAGCGTTTGTGCACTGTTTTGAAATGCCGCTCCTAAATTACCCTTCTTCGATAAAGTCACGCTCGCATTGCAGATGAGACAGATGGACTTTGAATTGGAATAGATACACAAATAATCATCCTCCCACTCGGAGTGAAAATTATATATTTTGGCCTTTTTTGCTTCTGCCATAATTTCGGTCTTGTGTGTGTGCGGACTGTCACTCCTGTTGACAAGGTCGGACAACAACGTCAGCGAAATAGTGCCCACCAGCCACGCCCCGACACATGGGGTCACGCCGGCCAATCACAAAGCTTTGATGCGTTCAAGTGCATTATTCTGGCACAGGAACATTATGTTACAGGACATTAACGATAAAACAGAATGTTGTTGTTCTATTTTTAGACACATCTCGCGATCGACTGGGAATCTCCTCGTCGATCGCGATCGACTGGTCGGGCACCCCTGGTGTAGAGCAAAATGATCTATAAAACTGATCTATTTGTCTATTGATTAAAATACTAACCAACCTTTTTACAACAACAATCTCAATATAATCTTCTTTCATTTGAGCCATGCTATTTTTTCAGACTTATATGAAAGAAAATCATTACTTATCATTTTTTGTTTTTGGACTGACGAATGTATTTTTCACTATGTTCTGTTACAATTTTGACCGGACAATTATAAATGAATCAAGAAAAGAATCCTCAGATTAATCAATAGTCAAACTGTTGTTAGTTTTCAGCCCTGCTATTGTGTGGTGCTTGAAAATATTCAAAAGAAGCTTATAGTAAATAATTAGAGCTGACCCTCGTCCTTCTGTGATGTACTGTACGTTATGTAGTTATTTTCGGATGCCAAGAACGTGTTATGTCTTTGATCATGTGTTAAAAATATATTTAAAAAAAATCTACCTTACATATAAAGTATTATATTAACTGTGAATGTGTCGTCTATTTAGGACCTGGAAGGCAGTTTCTTCAGCTTAAAACGGCAATGCAGGATGTGTCCCTAGTCCCTACAGACATTGAGTTTATTATACACCAAGTCAACCTTGTAAATAACTCTGAAGTGAACCATATAAAGACGAAGTGGTATAAAAATGTTGGAGATATTGCCTCTTCAGCAGTCTCCTCAACATAAACCAAATGTACTTTCAGTCATGGCATTTTCCCAGAATCAGTTTCTGTTTACAATAATTTGATTTTGACAATGCAGATTATTTAAACTCAGTTTCTGCTAAATGTCTTTTTTGCATTTCATGAGCCTTATACATTTGACATATGTATAATAACGGAAATCCAATTAAATTCAATGTTTTGGTCATTTGACAGGGAGGCAGTGAGGAGGTACGAGGAGCTGTCAGAAATCTTCTCAGAAAAGGACAACTACTCACAAAGCAGAGAACTCCTCAAGGAGGTACGTGTCTGCCACGCCAAAAACAGAGTCACAATGGAAATATTATATACTGTAATTTGATATTTTATTTATGGCATGCAGCGGCTTGTTTCTAGCCGAGTCAGGACGCAGCATCAGACCGTTTGGACCTTTTTTTTTTACTTTAAAGCGAAAGGTTTGAGTTTGATTATGTGTTTTATGGATGTCTTGTCAATTGACTGCTTGTGTGTTGGTTAAAACGTACTGGTTGCTTAAAGCTGAAGAAGCAGTTTGGGTATCAGATTTCAACAACTGTTTTCTGATGTCTTGGTTTTGTTTGAGGCCTGTTGTCACAAGGATCTGTGTTGCTCTTGGCAGCTGTCTTCAAAAATGCTTTCCCCCCTTACTAGAAACACTTGAAGTTTAAACCTGTGTGTACGATGTGTAAGTCCTACATCATTAATGTATTATACAGAAAGAAGGACTCTGTTTACTGTACGCAGATCTTTATTTTGGACTGTATTATTCAGCTATCAGTCGTAATACAACATTACATCATACATCAGTGTACAACCTGATTTTAGAAAATGACTGTTTATTGTATGAGCTAATCTGCGTGGAAAACAGGAAAAAGAAAGCTGTGTAATGCTATACTTAAAGTTGTGAGCTAGATAATAATGTAAACAATGGTAGGGCTAACACACCATTGTTAAAAAGGTATAATGTTTAGTAAGTTAACTATCTTACTTTAGTGTGTAAGCTCGGTTTGCTTACAAATGTTAATGGATATGTCATTCGTTTTGCAGTATTTGATCATAAACCATTATATTGGACAAATGTGGCTTTATAATGGTGCTAGAGTAAAAGTCAGGCGGTCACCAACATCAACAGGATAATTCCTCTTGGAACCATGAATATCTGTACAAAATGTCTTCTGAACCCATCGAATAACAGTCAAGATACAGTATGTCAAGTGGTGAACATACAACGCACTTCTGACATGCTATGCCTAGTCTAACAATTAGCTTGGCTAAAAGCAACACACATGCTTACTGCAAGCACACAATGCTCTGAAAAACCATGTGACTCCTCTGCACTTACATCTCACATCCTGCTGACACACATCCCATAATCTAAACAGCAGTATGAGACATTTATTAATGTGTCTGTCAAGAGCCACTACTGGACCACATGTGTTAAATCGGCACAATCTGAAGCCAAGCATTCTCCTCGGCTGAAAACAACACTCAGAAGAGATATACGACTGCTTTAAAAGACCAGGAACCAAACCAGTCTAATCTGGTTTAGTAGAACTGCCCTTATTCTGTCAACACTTCCATTTCAGTGCGAGACACCCATCTGAAGACGTATATTATATTTAGTTTGCACTGCGTCAGAGAGTTGGGGAAGTTGACAGGATTAGTTGTGTTTTGATCTGCTGTGATGGTGCAAAGCGGGCATCAATACTTTCGCATTAGTTGCGATGTTACCCATCATACCCCCAAAGGAATTCATCCAAACATATGCTTTCATTTTGAAAGCTTCACTACAAGCTTTGATGCCAGAGAACAGCATCGCCATCTGTTGCCCTTTGATTTTCCTCAGCACAGCGACTTGCTTCCCTTTATCTCTCAGCTTGTCTAAAAATGACTACCACAAGCAGACAGAGTGAGATGAGTGATTCAGACTAATGAAAGACTTACTAAAAGTTTAGGGAAAGAAATAATACACAACACTGTCATTGAAGAATGTTATGAAATAATATAACTATAAAGCATTATTAAGATTGATCCCTACAGCAGGACTAGATTGTGGTATTTGTATTGTAATGGTTCATTTATGGTTTATTTATTTCTGATCGCATATATGCTTTGACTTTGTGGCGAGGCTGTTCTCTCAACAATTGATTCCATGGTCAAGATTTAACTTTAAATCTTCCCTTGTTTTTGTGTTTCAGGAGGGCACATCCAAGTTCGCCAACATTGACAACAGGATCAACAACAAACATTTAAATCGGGTAGGTAGAGTGGAAAGAAAGACTTGTGTGAAATGATGGAGGTTTCGCTTTTAAGGAGACAGTGTTGTTTGTGGAAGGTCACATGGTTGACCATTAAGAAATGAACTCTCTAACAACCTGCTAAAAACCAAAGACTGTTGATGCAAAGGCCAGCAGCACCCAGGTGTATATGGCTGAAATATTGCAAATAAGTGTCTTTAAACACTCAGCTTTGCTCAGTTTAACATTTGTAAATCATTCTCAGTGGAGTGTCAGATCACCAAGACATATCAGAAATAAGAAATGACCTCAACCTTTGTCGTTGAGGTAAAGCATGAGATCTTAAAACCCATTGATAAAGAAACTTTCTTCACTAACTTTACAGCCCACGCCTAGTGTGCATACTAATTGTTTTAGCCTGAAGGGTTATACACCACCACAGGCCTTTATGGGAGACCTTGGGACATTTATGAATGATGTAAGACCCTGCAAAAGTGTCATTAGTATTGTGAAAGTTAGGGGACAAAATGTGATATAACATCTTTTGAAAAGTCTTCAAGAGCTGTAGTTGAAGGGCCTGTCATGGATATTCAATATAGGTTTGGTATGTCACACGCATGAAAGACATTATTGTTAAAAACATGAATAGTTTTTCAAATCACAGTTTTTCTACAAAAGAGTACATTCAATCATTGATACTGATGTCACTTCTGTTAAGAGGGGGGTGTTTGAGAGGTTTGATGGAGGGCATGCAGCGGTGGACTGGAACAGAGGGCTGTCGTGTGTGATGTGCTGAATCTGAATGAGCCATTGTTTGAGAAATAGCTGCAGGCCGCCGCTTTGTAATCTTTCGTTGGGCGGGCTCGTGACAAAGTGAATAGAAACCTCTGGGGAACTGATAAAACACTTGCCTTTTCTTTTCTTTTTTTACAGTCTAATGCCCAGGGCACAGTGCCCTACCTGGGCATCTTCCTCACTGACCTCACCATGCTGGACACTGCGGTCAAAGACAGGCTGGATGTAAGTTGCTCCTATCTCTACCAAAGGGAAAGTTGGTCATAAAGTTGCTCAGTATTTTACAATTATCAAACTGACCTAACACATCCTGTCACTCCCTTCACAGAACGGCTACATCAACTTTGACAAAAGGAGAAGGGTGAGTGATGCAATCGGTGTGAGAGATAAAAGGTTGAGCTGATGGTCTTGACTAATGTTCTGTTTCTGCTAAATCATTAAAAAGTCACGTGACCCTGTGAAAAAAAGAAGAGATGATTTTTTAGATAAAGCGTAATATATTGAAAAGAGGTAAAATAATATTGGAGGGAGAGTGGAAAGGGCCTTGTGGTGCAGAACAAATACATATAACTAGCACTGTAATACCAGGTCAGCCAACATAGGTCATTTTGTTTTATTATGTAACCTTCAGGTGATTCTTTGTTAACAGGAGTTTGAGGTTTTGGCTCAAATCCGTCTCCTGCAGTCTTCCTGCAAATACTGTGTGTTCACCAGTGACGAGGCCTTCACTCAGTGGTATCAGAGCGTCCCTACACTAACAGAGGAGCAGAGGTACATATACATGTATATTCTGTATAAAGACAATTCATTTGTATGACATGTTACAAATATTTGATCTTGTTGATATTGTAATTCAGTTACAGGCTGTCCAGTGAAATTGAAGCCCCTGGCGAGCCCAGCCCCCGTGGCCTTACTCCCACAGTCATCATCACACAGTGCCGAGAGTAAGCTATACTGACTGATCTCACACACATAAAACAGACAGATTACCAATATACCACACATACATTTGTTGTGCTTTTGATCCCTTTTTCTGGCATTTTTCTGACTCATTTATTATTTTAAAAATAAGATTGATTAATCACTGATAATAAAAGCACTACTTTCTACCCTAATTTGAATTTTCTTTCTCGTGTTCTTCAGCCTGAGTAACTCTCGGAGCAGCCTGACGGGGGACAGTGACAGCCTGTTTGACTTTCCCTCCCCTGTCAATCATCTGCTCTCAAAACTCACAAAGGTAATACAGTTTGATTTGTGCTTAAAGGCCAATTTGTATTAGCTTGTTTCACAGACATATTCAGAAACGACTCTTTTATTTTGCCTAAATCTGCTAAAAAGCTTTGTACTGAACTTGGAAGTTATACAAGAAAAACCCTTGGATTATCATCTGCCCCGTTGCTGTTTTTCTGATTGCAGCATATGAGATCTCCGTCTGTGTCCTGTCTGGATGTTGACACGTCGTCTTCAACCATTGAATCCACCCCTGCCACGTTGACCCCAACCACTCCCACAAAATCACACCGCCGATCAGTCTCCTGCGGCAACAACCCCACGTACAACATCCAAGGGTCGGGGCCTGACATGCAAATCATCAGGATACGGATGGACCTGCACGATGGAAACTTATACCGAAGCATACTGGTACTTTTTCAAGCTATTTTATTAGCAGCTGTAATGAGAAAAGCTCTGGTCCCGAATGATCTGCGACATGCTGCACTTACGGCCTTTCTTCTTATCTGCGAGGATCCCGTAATGATAGTCATCAGGATCAGATCCTTGGATTCAATGGAGCCAGGATATCATTAGTGCAAATCAAGCTGTGTCATTGTTATCTTCCTCTCTCCCTTCAGGTCACCAGCAATGACAAGACACCCACCGTCATCAGCTCTGCCTTAGAGAAGCACAATCAGGACCCCAAACAGACGTCCAGATATGAGCTGATCCAACTTCTGCCTGAAGGAAAAGGTATAGACACACGTGACTCCAGTGCAACAAAAAAAAAAGTTCAGTTTTAAGACTATCAGAATCAGAATTCCTTAATTCATCCCACAACAGGGATATTGACATTATTACCGCAGCAGAAGTATAATAAGTGTAAGAGAATAAAGTAAAGGGAATAGACTTGCATATTAAGAAAATGACAAAGTAGGCAAAATGTCATTAATAATAAAAAAACACAATAAGTAAAAAACTAAAAGCACCATGGTCAAAAACACTAAGGAGCAGTATTTTTATGTTTTAAAAGGGACGATACGAAGTTAAAGAGGTATCTGGTACTGTGGTAGGTGGTCTACTTATCAAAATTGACACAAACTGAGGTCATCTTGATAATTGTATTTCTACTTCTGCTATCTATAACTTTGGTTAACTTTAGGTTTTTGTTGCGCAGCAGCAGCTTTGGAGAAGCTTTATTGAACCCTGTCGTATGTATTCATTTATTTCTCTCTCTTCTTCTCTGAACACAGAGCTGGTCATCCCTGCTACAGGAAATGTCTTCTATGCCATGACATCATCTAGTGTTGACTTCCTTTTGAGGAGGAAAGGCGGGAACACTCCTCTGGGTTCATCGCCGCTCAGCACCGAGTCGAGCGCCACGTTTCCTCGAATCAAAGCCAAGGGGAGGAGACTGGTCCGGACACTATTTTGACATCAGACTTTCCTCAACCCGACCTTGTCCACAGTGACGGGGTTTTCTCCTCACAAACAGTAAATGTGGCCTTTCACACATGCCTTTCCCTCATGCTCCTCCATAGCTTTTTCTACCAAGACCAGGACCACGTCTGAATCTGCTGCTGAAGAACTGTCCGTTTCCTCTTCTCCACACAGTATGCATAACTTTACACCAAGAGAAAGAGCAATGGAAGCCTTTATCTGAGTGCTTTTGGTGCTGGCTCTAGAGTCCCAGTCAGGGACACTTGATGCATATTTTTCATTCCATCTCAATGAATAAGATCTGTTTTAATTGCTTATATCCGCAATCCGGAAATCCCCTTGTTGTTGCGTGCCTCAGTTGTGAGCGAAGCTTCGAAATGTAAAAAGAGGATTTAATGGGTCAGAACGTCTGTGAACACCTGAGATGCCGATGAAGGATTAAGGAGAGAGTGTTTATTTGGGAAGAAGCATGAGGAAATCTAAATATACAGAGCCTGTCAGACGAGTTCTTGGTGAAGAGCACACATGAGGAGAGCCCAAAGACATAGTGAGAGTGCACCATTGTAGAAAAAACACTGGAGCTTGACAAATGTTTTGTACATATTTATATATTTTGTACGTCTGAAAGATGTCAACATCGTGTTTACACTGGCGAGGAGCTTCAGGTCCATGTGTCCGAATTGTCTAAAAGAAAAAATGCATCAAATACCTGCAAGATTTTACATTTTTAGTCATACAGATGTTTATTTAAACATAAACTTGAAGCTGCATGAGTCAATCAAAAATAATTTATTTTTTATTTGATAGGAGCTGCTTGTTTTGACTATCCTAAATATAATGATTGACTACAGCTATGCAACACGTTTTGTCCTGTTTAAGCAACATTTGGAGGGTTTGCAGAACACAGAAAGTTCCTTCATGGTGATTCTCACAGCTGTTATCAACCCTGTTTCAGCAGCAGCTGTTGGGCGAAGCCCCTGAATGCCACCTGTCCACAGCAGACACACACAGTTAGAGATTTGCTGGTGAAACAATGTCAGCTAAAGAGAAAGATATCTTTTCTCAAGAGTTGTTTTAGACAAAACTACCCCTTATAGGAGAGCACTTGTGTTATCAGTCTGACGGTAATACAACTCCAGATAAACACTTCCTCTTCAGCTTGTTGCATAATTAGCCAGCTGTTTGGCAACTTTATAAGCTGTCATAGCTTGTTTAAGAAAATATTCTGACCTCTAGTGGCCAAAACATTAATTATTGCAGCTTTAAAAAACAACCTCGCAGCACTTTTAAAGCTTGTGGCTGTGCTTCAGTTCCTCACTGCTGTACCAAAACCATGAAGAAGGCACTAAGGAAAATCTGATCTCCCTTCATAGGTTTTACAGGTCTTACATTATCAAGAGAGCATAATGTAATTCATGCACATTCGTACCCAGCTCTGCTGCTTCACTACTGTTTACATACAGTACAAAGCCTCATGTTATAAATGAACCTGTTACCTTCCGTGTAGGTTTGAAACACGTGTGACGTCTGGCTGTATCTGCTCAGTGCTTGTGAGGCCTCCTTACAGGCTGAGGCTTGAGCATAGCGGACCAGGGAGAGGATTCTGGGTAATAATGGATGACGTGTGCGAGCATGATACTATGCTACTGATTGTTTTAGTGCCTTTCTCCACAGGATGTTCATCTTTCCCGTGTTTAGAATGTACGTGAAGGAATCGCAGTCACCTCAGTGCTGTGCAGTTTCACATCAAAGCTATTTATGCACTACATGCAGGATGTCTTATTTTTGTGGTAATAAATTTACTTTTCTATGAATTTCAATGCTTCTGACTGATTTGCTGTAAAACATCCCACGTTCAATAGACATATTTTTGTAGTGCTGCTCAGTATCCCATCAATATAAGTAAAGCTGCCTATATGTCAAATACACACCTTATTTATGTTCCAATGGAAAAGGTAAACAAGCTAAATAAATGTACAATCAAATAATACTCTGTTTTAGATTCTTTATTCAGATTCAAGCCAGCAACTCCACCTTCAAGCAAAATCAAGGAATGTATGATACAACTATAAAATCTAAGACACAGAAAAAGAGTTCTGGATATGTCAGAAAAGCACATTAGAAATTCATAAACAGTTATAACCAACCTAGTTAATAATACGAGCATTCATGAAACAAAGTATTAAAGCATTCCTTAAACCTGAAGGTTGTCAGTATCTGTAGTTTAATTATTTGGAAAACATCACTTTCTGCTGAATGTAACAATTAATAATACCAAATTGTGAAATTATATTTTCAACCTGCAAAGTTTGAGAATCCCTGAGAACGTTCCCACAAATCATTTAAGGTGAATAGAAAAAAAAATCATCAAAAAGTTTTAATTTATCGAGGTAGCTCATATCTACCGGTTACCACAATGTCTCTTCAGTTTCTGTTAAAAGAGCTCACAGCAGTGTTTAAGACCCTTGATCAACATGCATTCATTTAAAGTAGCACTTTGAGGGTTTTTTAAAATTATTATTAACCCTGAATTTCCCATAAAGCCCTCTGCTTCCTGTCATATTTGTCCTCCTCCAGCATTGTTCTGTATGCTTTCAGTCTGAAGAGGAGGATGTAACAGCCCTTAATAACATCCAATCATCATTTGGAAGTCAATTGCTTTGGGTACCAAAAACTGGTACCAAAAACGTTAATCCGCCTCTTACTTTGAATGATGCAGTCCCACATGAACTCGCCATTTCCTGCCAAATGTGGATCAGTTTCAGCCCTCCAATTTTAGAAAAGATCATTCATTTAATTAAATGTGATCAAATATTAAAAGAAACATGTGCAAACATTTCACCTAAAAACCCACATGCCGGTTATTATCTTATGCGTGTTGTTCCTCTCCTCAGGCCCAGGTATCCCATCATGCTCTAGCAGCGAGTCAGCACTGACCCGTTTCTCCTCCACAGCGCTGGCACTGCAGCGCCGCCGTCCTGTACGCCTTCCACACCACGGGGTCCTGCAGACACACCGTGCCGCCGCCCCGCTTCTCCTCCGCCTGGTTCCGGTTGATGTCTCCCACACACACCCATCCCCCTCCGGACCCCGCCCCGCCCGCCGTGGTGCTGACGGCCCACTTAGAGTGGTCCTGGCTGTTCTTGAAGTCGAACGTCTGCCCCGGGTGGATGAGCTTGATGTCCAAGACCTTCCATCCCAGCGAGCAGTCGGAGGGGAGGATGCCTGTGGAGCGAATCCAGAACTGGACCAGGAGATCTGACTGGAGGCTGGGGGCCACCCAGGAGTGGTACAGGTCTGCAGAGAGGCAGGATGGAAAAGAACATGTTTTTATTATCTTAAAAGGTCTCGTATTATACAGTTTGTCATCAATATATTAAAGGTCTCAGATATATACAAGCATGTCTCATGCCCTGTTTCAAGAACACAATGCTGCTCTAGGAGGAGATTCAGGTTGGCCAGTGTATACTTGTAAATAAGTTAAAGCGGACACAAACTTTAGAACTTCTTTTATCTCTCCAAAGTCGTACCGTTGTCAAAAGAAGCTCCTTTGGCAAAGCTGATGAAGCTGGTGCCAGCCTTTGAGGTCAGAGTCACGCTGCGATTGGATACAGGTTTGATGTGTGGAAAGATGTGAACAGAAGGATGTTTCTTCACACAGAGATCAGCCAGAGCGGGCACGAGGGACGCCAAGGACTCTGGGACGTCGCAGTCGTACACATTAGGCTGATTGATCTGAAGCTGCTCTCCTGCGGTGCAAAACAAATTAGATTGCAGGCGAACGCTGCTAACGGCACTGTAGGCACTTTACTTGTTAGGTACAGTAAATGAACAGCACTATCCTGGTGAAGTTGGTGCAGAGGGGTATACATTACTTGCACTGCTACACTGTGCACAGACACATATATCTAATTATAGATTCTGAAAAATAAATAAAAAAATCATTCATGTAAAATTGGAGTAATTTGGATGTTTATAATTTCTCTTCTTGTCCCTACTCTCTTTCAACCATTCTTGATGGAAATCTCCTTTTTTTTTTTAGAACAAAGGAGTATTCAAATTAAAATAAGCACATTGTTCTTTATTTCACTTAAACAATGCACATTTTCTCTAACCATTATTATTGATTAACCAATCCATTACATAATAGACTGCTTTATCATCAGAGGCATAGACCCATTGTTTATTCTATCATTAAATAGTCAGTTAATATAAAAACTTCTAGAGAGTCCGAGGTGACGCTTGCTTAGAAAAATTATTTAAATGAATTATAAATTCATTCATGATAGTCCATTATACTTTTAGAATTTGCTGCAGGCCAATACAAAAATTGACCACGGCCCCCGGACCATAGTTTGGACATCCCTGATAGGGCCACCATGAGTTTGACGGTTTGGGTTTGGGACTGACATTCATGAACCCTTAATTCATGAAACATAATACCTTTTTTCTAACTTACATTTTCAATTAATCCAATACAATGTTTGCCAAAATATTCTCAAAACGGCTTACATTTATTTTGTTTACAGCTGCTCTTTTTGTTAAATGACTATGAATATTAGCATGGTAAATATATTTCATTCTAAACATCAGCATGTTAGCTAACTACAGCCTCACACAGACTCTAACATGGTGGTTGTGCTGCCTTGAAATAAGTCCTTTTAATCAACTATTCAAATCGTTGTTGATGCAGATGATATCAATTGACTTATACGCTCTTTGGTTCAGCTCTAACTGGTAAACATAAGTACCTGTACAAATCAAATCAGTAATTAGGGTTATTAAATCATTATCAAGCTAATTTTTCTGACCACATACTGGTCTAACACATTGGAAAGGTAGTATTTGTGAACTTGGTGAACAGTATTTTAGTGATAAACTAAATCTCAGTTTCACCTCATTAATGTGCAGATTCCTGCTTCAAGGGGCTTTAAAATGAACACCTTCTGTATGCATGTCACCCAGGACACGGTCACGCTCTCAGCTCCTCAGCTAGAGAGTCCGAATATTTGATAAGGCAAATATATGCCGCAGTGTGAGGGCCAATATCTCTATGGTAACATACTTCAATCTAATTAAATTACCCCAGGCACTGCCATAGCAACGGTGCCAACTTGTGAGTCTGCCAGGGATCTGCACAGGCAGCGCGTGACACGGTGGTGACACCTGTTTACACTGATTATCCTAGATCTGCATTATCCTGTTGTTGTTGTGTCAATACCTGACTGGATTATAAAGCACCCCCAAGAGAATAATGACTTAATAAATCCCTTTTGAAATGAGAGGGAATGACATGAAATGACTATGAAATAATTAAGGAAGAATATTCTTGGTAAAGCCTCATAAACAACAATTACACCCTCATGGGAAACTAAGACTAAAACGTATTGAAACTCATTTACACCAAGCTGCTCTTGAAGGCCGGGTAATGCTCTTATCAATAGAAAGTCTCAGATATATTGTACATGATTATAGGTTTAATATAAGCGTCTTTGAGCAATAGGAAAAGCGCTATAAAAATGTAATTTATTATTATTATTACTATTTTGATATGTTTTGTCTTTAAGGAAGAACTGCTATTATATTGGCAGGGGGTTACATGATCGGCTGATATGATTGAATATCATTTTAATCAAAACGCAGAATGTTTCCGACACCCAATCTATGGGTCAGTCTAATCTTATTTGTTATCTTGCAGACTTTGCTTACAAAATATCATTATTTAAGAAGCTACAAGATTGGGTAATATGTTATCTATTTTGCATAGAAAAGGACAGTTCTCACCAATGTAGATTTGATAGATAGGAGTTTCTCAAATGAATTCATTCTTAAAACTATTCATATATAATAGCAGATAGAAGGCGGATAATTAATCGTTATTAGCTCCCAGCTCTCATACTGTTATTGTGATGTAATACCATCATCCCTACTGTTACATGTATTTTATACCATCTTTGCCTGTGCTATCCAGCCTCATGGCAGGACTCCAGTCTTACCGATGGTCTGGAAGCGCTCGAGCGGGTAGGTAACGCAGATGAAGTTCTGCCCGTTGTTCACACCGCTAGGAGGGTAAGAAAACGTTCCCGCCTGCCGTACAGGGGGGAAATGAGGGGTGCTGTGGACCAACCAGAAGCCCTGATTTTTATCCAGCAGGACAACACCTGAGGAACAAACATATTAAAATGATCAACAAAAAACTTCAAGGTTTTCCCTCCAGGTGGTTGATACCCAAACCAGAACTAACTAAACTGAATTATGCTCATATATCTCAACAGGCCAGGATGCTGCAGTTAAAGGTGATAATTATCTGTAGCTTCATCACTACCAGTGACTCCTTTCACATTGTCCTTTTTTACATTGCATACTTAAGCAATGAAATTATTTGGGGACTAAACATGAGTTGGGCTGCTTTATATCTAAATCTAATCCAAGTCTCTGTCAGGAGTTCTGTTTTAGTGTTTTTGACCTAGATAAGCATTTATTTTTATTTTTATTTCCCCATATTTCCATACAGGAAGTAAGGCTGTAATGACATAGGAATCTAAGGTTTGTAACAAAGCTTCAATTTAAGAAATCTTAAAAAATATACAGTGCGATAGGCTTTGAAATGTTTCTTTGACAGAGCTATAGTCCTTACAAACTTGTCCATATTTGCTGATTTTGAGTATAAAGTCAAATCACTTGCAGCATTATGAACTATGTATGTAATGGAGCTGGACCACTCTGGAGTTCACCTTTTGTGTGCCCCCCTTTACTCCCACTGTTGTCAACCCATCTGTCACCAAGGTCCTCGGGTGGCTTCTGGTCATTGTAAAGGATG